AAATCCTACAGATACTGTCGTAGAAGTTTATGATTTTAAAAAAGAAGCAAATCAGAGATGAGTGAGCAGAAGCCTCTGATGATTGGAGATGGACATTTTTTTTATTTCCTTCACTGTCATACTTTCACATCACTCAGGCTTATCTCCAGGACTTAACTGATCCACAGACAGATCTCGGTTCTGGCGTTCAGCGGGTCGTGAGTTTCCCAACTGTTAACAGTCAGTTTGCACAGAAGTCTTTCAGGTTCCACTGGCTGTTGTTCTCCGTTCTCCTGCTGTATTTACTGTGCGGCAGTCTGTCTGGTTTAAGTGGGATCATCTCTAAGACCAAACTTTGATCTGTGCTCGTGTGCACATGCCGCTACATGCAGTCCAGAGTGCAGGTTAATAACAGTGGATGATGCTAATGAAGTGGAGGGAGCGAGGAGGAGGAGGAGGAGGAGGAGGTGATAAGCCTGCGATTTAGGGATTTGCGCTGCACTTGTGATAGATTAAAAGACACACATGCACACAAACAGACACCAACACAAGCTTTGTGCCATTGTGTGGACCCGCTTTGACATCCGCCGAACCCTAAAACCGAGTCTAATCTCTGCAGAAACGCTCCCATTATGGCTGCTTCCAACTTAGGTTTGCAGACGCACACACTCTGACTAACACTTGGCTCGACATAATTCATGCATGAAGCCTGTGCATTAAATTGTGATGTTAATTAATTGAAGGGACCCGCAGGGAGTTCCTGCAGGGCTGAATGGAAAACACAACACAACATCATAAAACCCAATCAGCACCTCGCTGGAGAACCTGCTCCTGTCACACACGTCTGTAGACACATGAGAGAGGAAAGGTTTTAAATATTATTAATAGTATAAAATGACAATACTACATTAATAACTGTATTGATTTAGCCGGTGGTCATGCAAACTGATGCTTTAGTCACATTATTTTTGCTTTTTTGCTGCAAATATGTTAATAAATTGACTTATTTCTGTTACTGAAAGGGATTTTTTTGGAGATTTATTCGCACATTTTCTCTTTAGGTCCTCATTAAAAACACAAAAGCTAACTTCTAACACTTCCTCACTAAAAACCGTGATGAAGGATTGGTATTAAAGGAAGTAAATTTTGGAATTATAGTGTTTTCGGTTTCTGGAGGCTGCGAGTTTGTGTAATATGGGTACGTTAACGTCTCGAAACTCCAAGATAATGTGACTAGACTGATGCTAGCAACGTATATATATAAGAAAAGAGGTCATTTTCCTGCATACTGGTGGTTAAATGTAAAAAACTATAGACACTTTGTGACTGATTTCTATGTAAAAGCACCTTGCAAAAAACATCTAAACTGAAGAATGGTTTATTCTGCAGTGACAGGACTGTGTGTGTGACTTTGGGATATCTTGGACTGACTTGCAAACACACACATGTGCCCATAATAGTGAATTAGTGACATGTAAACCTTTATAAACGCATGAGACTGCGTGCATTTGGACAGTTTAGGACACTGAATATTTTAATACATGGAGTCAGAACTGCCTCTTTTTTTTTGCCGTGCAGTTAAAATACCTGATAATGGATCAATAGATGTTTTTGTATATAGATTTTGTTTTTGTATGTCACTTTCTTTGCACCACGCTGTGATTCTAGGTTTTTTGCACCTGTTTAAAGAATGGAATTAAATGCGTCTGCAAAACTTAAATTAACGAGTTTGAAACTGCACACGAAGCTCCGCAGCACGTCCTGATATTGTTTGGGCTTCCATAAATTATAGATTAGCCCTCTGCTCCGATTAACTTTCACCGTCTTCTCCATCATTGTCCTCGCTGATCAATGTTCCCTCACTGCTGCTAATCCAATGAGCAGCGCCGCCCTGCAAACCTCGTTACTCTAATGCAGTTTCGCAGCATTGAGGTGAGTTCGCCCGGCGGCTGCGTGAGATTAATACGCATTAGCATGTCCTGTACGTTTACTTACTTCACCGAGTTTGCAATAATATGATAGACAGCACACGTTTACAGGCACTAAATAAATGATCATTCTCCATCGCAGCTGATGCTGCGCAGAGCAAACGCTGCTGACCATCACTGGCTCTCAGACTAATTGGTGCGATTTTCCTGTCCTG